ATATGATGATGAATGTGACATCATAGGTGAGATGTGATGTCACAGGGGTAGTGATGTCATAAGGCAGCTGGGATGTCACGGAGAGGATGTGATGTCACAGGAAGCAGTGATATGATATCACAGGAGAGATGTGATGGCATATGATGGATGTGACGTCAGCTGTGATGTCATGGGGAGGTGTGATGTCATGGGGAGGACATAATGTCAGAAGAATGACATGACATCACAGGAGAGTTTTGATGTCATGTGATGGATGTGATGTCATAGAAGACATGTGATGTCACTGGAAGGATGTGATGTCATAGGATGGATGTGATGTCAGCTGTGGTGTCACAGGGGGCTATGATGTGACGTGAAGGTGGGTTGTCATAGGGGAGCTGTGATGTCACAGGGAGGATCTGATGTCATATGGGAGATGTGATATCACGTGGAGGTGTGATGTCACAGGAAGGATGTGATGTTATATGATGGATGGGACGTCACAGAGGAGCCTTGATGTCACAACAAGGATGTGATGTCATAGGGGATATTGTGATGTCACGGGGAGGATGTGATATCAGAGGGGAGGACGTGATGTCACAGGGATGATATGATATCAGAGGAGAGATGTGATGTCATATGATGGATGAGACGTCATAGGAGAGATGTGATGTCACAGGGGAGGTGTGATGTCACAGGAAGGATGTGATGTCATGGGGAGCATGTGATATCATAGAGGAGTGACACATCCCCCTCCTCAACCTTGCTCCAGCTAAAGCCGTGGAATTTGTCTTTGTTTCTCTCAGGTTCAAAGTCAGGCTGTTTAATTTCCATGGATGTCTAAAGACGAGTTAAGGGTAGCTCAGACCTTTTGGTGAGCAAGGAGTTGTTTCCTCTTGAGCATTTGAACTCAGCCTTTGTTACTGGTTTCTTCCCACTCTTTCTGAGCAGTTCATTTCCCAGGGTGAAAGCTCTGATTCCCCAGCACAGTCAGGTTATCCTGAGCTCAGAATGTTTCAGTGGCCTCATTTTTCTCCAGTATTAATTCTGTGCCAAATTCTTGCTTCCTAGGTCAGTGAAATGTTAGAAGACAGAGAATCTCACCTTGATCTTGGACAGAAGACTTATAGACTTCTTTATGCTGTTGAATTCTTCCCTAATAGTTCTGGATGACAGGACACCCATGTGGAAAGTCCCTTTTCTGGTTTTCAGGACTTAAAATAGATGCTTTTCTGATGTCGGTATTTATTGTAGTGTTGTTTATTCAACTGTGAGGATTGAATTTAGTGTTCCTTACATCTTTAAAAAGTGCAACCCCTTTCATCTATTGTTTTAAAAACCATGCATGGGATGTCAGACGACATAAAGACAGAATGTAGAGATAACCCTGATGTAAGTGATGGTTCCAGTCATCCCGTGTATGGATAAAAGATTTCCAAGGCTTTGTTCCAAGTTGCTGCCCCGCCCCCACCCTCTGCCTGCCGCCTCCTGCCCCTGGAGCCTGATTGGCCACTGCCCCACCAATGGGCCGTCCCGGGGGATGCAAATGTCCCGCCCTGCTGCATATTCATGAGCTGTGGGCGGGGCTTTGAGCCCTTGATCAGACCCGGGCAAGCTTTTGGTCCCCGCCCGCCGCCGCCGCGCCCGGAGCGAGCCCGTGCCAAGTGCGTGGGGTCGGCCACAGGAACTTTGCTTTTCCCCGCGGGGCGCACGGAGGATTTGTCGCTGGGCGCACATGGACTCGGGAGAACTTTGCCTGCCAGAGCCGCTCTCCCTGCACCACGAGGTAGAGCAGGTACTGCTCCCCCCCCTCCCAATTTTTAAGTGTGTATATGGATATTCTTTAGCTCTAATTTCTTCATTTGGTTCTTTTCCTGAAAAACTGAGATCCTTTGATCTGTATAAACTACAAATAAACTGGGAAGAGTTTTTCTGAGGTTTTTCTCAAATAGCAGGCTTAGGGAAAGGGGGCCCTCAGATACTTTGGGGGAGCTGTGGAGAGCTGAGCGGGAAGGCTCAGTAAAAGAACAAAACCGTCACTGTGCAAAACTATGGAAAGATGAAGGAGCTTCGGGAAGCCCTTCACGTCTGCAAAGGGTTTAGTCTTTTATAACAGCTTATGGTGATGGTGGCTCTGAGCCTCCTCCCCTTCAAATTCAGCTTTTGGCACAGTTGTTTGCAATGTCTTAAGTGTTGAAGGACATGGTGAATCAGAACTAGGAGTTTGTTTCCTGCCTCTTTAGGTTGTTCCTGTGTTGTGAGGAGACCTTGCTTGTTGGAGTGCTGGTGTCTGTTCCTGGCAGCAATGACAAGGCCGAGGGCAGGAACAGGGAGGTGTCTGGTACAAACCACTTGTCTGAAGTAAACAATGTCTTTTAGGACTTTCCCAGTACCTGAGGCACCTGCTGTTTAGATCTGCAGCAGACTTGCTGGTAAGGCTACAGTAGGACTTGTGAGCAGGATGGAGAGAAAAACACACATGAAAAATGGAAAAAGAGAGGCCTCGTCCACTTCTCCTCAGCAATTGGGTCCCCACTGGGGCAGGCTGGGCAGGAATGGCATGGAATGATGCGACAGGGTGATCACTGTGTCACTGTCTGTCAGGCTGAACCTCTGTGTCTGCATTTTCCAACCCACTGAAAGCTGAGGTGAAGCAGTGAGAAGTGGCAAAGCTGCAAATTGCAAGTCAGCCCCAGCAAGACCTGCATTTAAAAATGTTCTTCTAACATTTTACTTGCCAGCAGCAGTAAGTTGCTTGGCTGGGAAGAGGGATAAAAACACCTCTGGTCTGCGTAAAATTTGGGTTAGGAAACTTGCAAGTACTCCTTGGCTTTTTCTTAGAAGCAATGACAAATGTTGAGCTGCTGTGTTGTCTGTCTCATTGTAAATTTGCAAGTTCATTTTTGAGCAGAATCAAATGGTGATGTAATTACATACTTCTCCTAATTATTGAGTAATTATATGCTTCTTATAATTGCTGAGTAATCACTCTACTATAACTAGAATTTAATGTTGCAACTAATTGTGTAATTACTGTATCTTAATGTTGTTATCCAGGCAACTTGGAATAGAGTGTTATCCTTTTAATTCTGTTACTCAAAACTGCCTTTTTAAAATATAGTATAGTTAGGCATTGGAAGAAAGATTAATAATGGAGTAAAAATATCAGCAGAGGAAACACATGTTTTCCTTGCAGGTTCAGGAGGATGAAAATCAAAATATTAACATGTTAAGACTGTAGTGTAGATAGAAAAAGTTTAATTTTCTCTTGAATGGGGCTGATAAATTGCTACTAGGCAACCCACTTTTATGCTTAAAGTTTGAATCTATCCTATGTGCCAACCTGTCAACACTAATTTTTAAATTTTCCTGCACACTGGAGGGGAAATGCTTAAAAAATGCATCTTTTTTCCACAGCCAGCTGAGTCCTTAAGTGCTTCATGTCACTAGAACCTTAAGAATGTAAATGTCACATATAGAGTTGGCCATTTCTAGTGACTTTATAGTTAATAAAATAATGGGTGCATCTGACAGTCACATGTTGTTGTGTGATGGTCACAAGTACTCAGTGGCAGACACTGGAGAAACTGTGATAGATGAGAGGAGAAATGTGCTTTGTTGGGTTGTATCTGCTCCCAAATCACACCCAGGGACAGTTTCACAAAGGTGCAGAAGGAGGGTTTGATGTACAATTGAAGAGCTGAGTTCAAGGACTGTGGATGCATTTTCCTGGTGCTGGTTGAGCAGCCTGGGTCCATCAGAGTCATGTCAGACAAAATAACTTTGCTCCTGCAGGATTCTGGGTGTGGAATGTGTGAAACGTGGTTGTTCTTCTGGCAGGATAAGAAGTTTTGCCTTCATTCCTGTACCTAAATGGGGTCTGGGGCTTGTGTAAACTTCAGTGAAATCCAAACTGAATCCATCAGGCTCCATGAAACCATCCTGCCTTCACCCTGCTGAAGTCTGTCCGGGTGCTCTGGTGCTGTGGTCTGGTGTCATCCAGGGAGAATTTGAGCAATAAGGATCTGGGCTACAAGGCAGGTTCTAAAGAGTTTTACAAAACTGCCCCCCCTCCACAAAACCTCAGAAAACAAGTGTGTCAGATGTTACCAGAAGAATCACTGCAAACACCCTTTGTGCCACTCCGTGAACATCAAAATAATGGAATTGTGTGGACTTGTACCATAAGTAAATCAGAGATTGTTTGTGGGAATCCCCAAATTAGAAGAAAATCCAGATCACTCATCTGTGGTAAAATGTGCTGTGAGCAGGAGTGAAATGTGCTGCACACACACGTGTTAGAGATCATCAGGGAAATATGGGAGATTGGAAAACCATTTTCAGATTTAATAACATTTCAGTTTTAACAGTTCATTTAAAACTTGAATGAAAATGTGTAAATCCAAGGAGTTTCCCTTAAGAAATTAATTAAAATATTGATTTTCTAGGGTTTTTGTAATTCCATCTTATCTAGGTTTTGTAGAGGACTCAGATGTGAATATTCAATCTGCTACCTGTGACAATACCTGACTTCATTTACAATACTTTTAATAGTTATATACTGTTTAATCTTATTCTCATCCCTGTGATCTTAGACTTGTGTGATTCTGCTGTTGTTTGTAACAGAGAATTTCCTTTGACTTCCCTGTGAGAGCTCTCCATGGAATGATGAACAGTAGTAATAATATTAATCATTTATAGAGTGCTTTATATGTTTGAAATACAGGATAATCTTTAAATGAGCTCAGCTTTGCTCTCAGATATGTGAGTGAACTCTTCACTGATTTGAAAAAAATTGTTACCTGACATACAGGGTTTTTTTTCTAGTCTTACTGGGTATTTTGGAAAGGGTTTCTTTATTTTTGTAGGGCAGAATATTGTCTTATTTCAAGTTTGAGATCTTAAAAGGTTTGCAAAGGACATGTAGGTTGCTGTGGTGTCCTCTGATGATTTCAGCTGATAAACTGAAAGCTTCCAATTCTTTTATCTTTGAGGGGACTGCAGGCCATGCTGGAAAGCAGGTGTTACTGCAGGTGACTTTTTCTGCTGTATGCAGTGAGTTAGCTTATGAACTCCTAAGGGAAGCATTTTTCTAGTGAATTCCGAATTTTTTACCAGTGTATCATAGGCATAAGAATTAACAGTAACATTTGGAATTTGCAGTTATCACACAACTTTTCTAGAAGATCAGTAATTTCTGAGAGCTGGCTCCTGTTTGCAGTATAGAGCAGTCAGCTCTGCAACTGCATGGTTGCTTTATGTACTGGTTTGTTTATTTCCCAAGATTTACAGGTACCATAAACTGTTGCCAAAAGCAGGAGAAATGATGAATAATAATTTTTCTCTCCAATAGCCAAAATTCCGTGTGTGTGTGTGTGTGTTACTGGTATAAACAGCAAGTCTTCTTTTGAGTAGGAATTAGACTTAGTTCCTAAAGACAGGGAATTGTAGCAGACACAAGGTCTAACATTTGTTCTTCTCCTCCCTTTCTTGTTTTTTCATGACAGATAATGCTCATTATTCTGTGGTAAATGATACTCAGATGTTCTGCAGCAGCAGGAAATTCAATGTATGGGTACCATTAAAGGCCTGGTTCCATTTTCTAACTACACAGAGCAAGTGAATGCATCCAACAGCCAGGGCAGCTTGATGAGTGATGCTGTAACAATTGTCAGGCCTCCAGGAGGTGAGTAGGAAAAAGTGCTTTTTCTGTGCCTGTCACAATTCCACAAACACCCTGTTGAACAAAATGTTATTTATTATCTCAGCTGAGGACTGGAAGTTCAGAAGAATAGATTTGCATTACTAGTTCTTACTACCAAAATTGTTGCTTTTGGCTTCTAATTTGTCACATTGTTAACTTTAGGAACTAGAGAATGAAAACAGTCGTATAGTTAACATACTGTGAAGGTGAGAGGTCTATTATGTACTTCATTTTTTTTCTGTGAATGGTGGTGTGTTCTATCAGGGACAGCTGATCTAGTCCAAGAATACAGAGAGATTCACCTGCATTTTGGAACCTGTTTTAGAATAAAAGTTGAAAGTGCTGACAAGGAGCACTCACTGGATAGACTTAGAGAATTTGTTTAATAATAGTGATATAAACCACTGGCAATATATTGAGCCAGAACCCACCAAGTTCTTTAGCTGTAAGAAAGTCAGTTCCAATGTGCTGATTTACAGTGACTGAGGCTCTAAACCCCTCTGGCTGTTTTCTTCATAACAACTGGAAATGAGAGAATTGAGCAAATACGCCCTGAACACTGTGTTTTGTTCTGTGGTTTTGTTTTGGTTGGTTATTGGGGTTTTTTTGTGTCAAGAAAGCTTTTACATTTATAGCTGGTGTAGGTGTGTCCCTTTTAATTCCCTTTTCATGGTCACCCTGGAGAATTAGCTTTGGTTGAATAAATGCCAGTGGAAACAATTAATTTAAGCCAGTTCTGAATTGTAATGTGAGAGCCCAACAACTCTTGATCTTGAGAGATGTGTAGGTGCAGCTGTTGAGTAAGAACAGTGTAGAGTGACATCCAGACCATTTTAAAGGAAAAGAAAAACAAAACCAAAGAAAAGAGAAATCCCATAAACCTTACAGCTCAAAAATACAATTGAACTTGAAACAGTTTTCTTGCAAACAGATGGATTAGGTTTGGGTCCAAAGCAGCAGAAAGACTTCAGGAAAGTGAGTAAATCCAATACAGAGTTTGTATGACAGATTACTGAGAAATAAAGAAAAGGTCCATTTCCAGCACATTTTAGACTTTTCCAGTTTTATTGTCAAGTTGCACCTAATCTTAACAAATTTACTTTGTTATAGAATAATAAAACTGCCTCTGAGTTTCACTGCTCATTTCAGACTGAGCAGTAAGACAATGTTATTTCTAATTCCAGGGCCACATTTTAATTTTGCACAGCAAAATTTGGTAGTGAAAATGTTACCCAATGACAAAGTAAAGGATCTTTAAAGATAAGCAAGGCTGTGCACAGGTTTATGAGAGCCATTCAGATAGACTTTCTTTCATCATTAGATTGTTGTTGATTACAATTAGAAATCTTAAAGCTTTGAAATTATCTTTTTTATGACCCTGTGATAGTTTAAAAGCAATACCTCTTTGGTTAAATAGGTTTTAGTTCACGCTTCCTTTTAGTTAATACTCTGAAAACATGTTATCCTGGTTTACACATAAAATCCTGCTGAAAAGCACGTGACATTCCCCAGGATATGTGTGTTTAAGTAGAATTAAATTAGCAGTGAGAGTTTATAAAGAAATCTTCCATACTAGGACAATTATGTTTGCTTTACTGTGATGTTTATTACAATGACTCTTTAAATGCTGTACAGTTCCATTGCATGGTAAATTATGAGTGTAATGGTAATTTTACACTGGGCTGTATTCAGTACCTTCACACTTTGTAAACCATTAAATGAAATCTGGGTGCTTCTAACATAAGAAGAAATTTTATTTTTTACTTCAGCGGCCAAGATTTCACTGAGACAGAAGTTTTGTTTGATCAGAGTGAGAGAGGTCTCATTAGGTACAAAATCACAGCCTTTTAATGAGTGTGAACATGCAGCATTTTATCAGCCAAACCTGTGTGGATTGGCAGCTGATCAGGAAGGGTCAGCCAGGACTGTGCATGTGCTTAAATGCTGGAACTGCCAGTTAAAGTCACTGTGGCACAATAAGAAGCTGAAACTGTAAGAACAAATGATCTTCAGAGTGGGAAGGCAAAAGAAACCAGAGAAGCTTTTCAGGATGTTCAAGTTCAGAACAAAGGCATTATGGAGTATATAAATTTTAAATACACTGATTTTTGCCTTAAGACTTAAAGCTTTTTTTTCCAGATGAACTGAAATCTTGTCTGAAACTGTCTTTGTTACATCCAAGAACAGCGTGGAAAGCTAAAAGAGATGGAAGGAGCATAAAAGGGCACAGTTTACAATGATTAGTTGCAAATTTCATACCGCAGAGGTAGAAGTCAATTTTTTTGAGTTTTACGTTTTTTTAAAAAGGAATAAATTTGCTCTATTTGTCTTGTCCTAAACTGCTTTGGTGGAAGTTGTAAGAAAAATAGTGTACTGGTCAGTGCTTCACATTAATTTGAAGTTGCCAAGCAGTAAAAAATCTGGAAAACAAATTTCTTTAGAATTAATGTAATCAGGTAAATGACTTGAAGTGATGCAGAGGATGTAAAACTGCAAAATTCTGGGAGAAAATCTTCTGCATGACATTCTTGGCTATCCATTTTTCTTCTTAAGGAGTGCTATTTCTGATGAAGTGGCAGATAGAAGACCCCATTATTTTAGGATTGCTTTGTAATAAGGGATGGTAAGCTAGCAGAAAATAAATTTGCAATCACTGCTGATAATACTCCAGTTAAATCCATTTGTTCCCTTCCTCTGACCATCAAAGCCCTAAGTATGGAGGGGAATGAGAGGTCCTCTGTGCAGAAAGGAGCAAGATTATGTTGAAAAAATAGGGGCAAAGAGAGAGCAGAGAAAGACAGGCTGCTGCTCAGATGGGAGGCAGGAAGGTGAGGTTCAATCATCACCTGCAAGGAACAGAAAAGGACTGGATTCCCAAGTCATAACAAGAGAGATGAAGATTGTCGTGGCTGCTGATTCTGTGCTGCATTGCAGAGTTGTCTCTGGGGGGTTCTTGGTGCTGACTCAGTAACTTGGTGCTGACTCATCTACAGAGCAGAGCCTCAAAGAATTGGTTTGTTTTTCCTGTGTAAAACAGAAAAGGGAAGATACTCTGAACAAAGAATGGCCTGAGCAGTGAAGTGCTTCTTTAAGCTCTCATGTGCTCTGTGTGTGATTTGCACAGCACAGGAATGTTCAGCAGTGGAAGATGTGAGATTTTTGCTTTGGACTCTTAAGCACCTGCCCTTTCCTGTCCACCTGTTTGCCTATGGAATACTGAACTGCCCCTGCCTATGGAATCCTGCACTGCCTCTGCCTATGGAATCCTGCACTGCCTGTGCCTATGGAATCCTGCACTGCCTCTGCCTATGGAATCCTGCACTGCCTCTGCCTATGGGCTTGGGTTTGTTCCCAGCAGCCAACATTGACCCTACGGACCTGTAGCTGCTGCTGTTGGTTCAATATCTGCAGGAGATGGTTCCTGCAGCCAGGGGATCTCAGCCACTGTTAGTTTAGGCAGCAACACCTCTGGGACTGGATGTTGAACCTCATCATAGGATCCCTGATCTAATCATGCAAACAAGTAGGAATCCTATCATACAACTTATATTTGCATCTGAAAGAATTCGTTCATGCAAGTGGATCACTGAAGCCAAGAGGCCTCCTTAGAGGAATGGATATTCAGCAAACACAGCAAACTGCTGTTAGGTCAGAATTAATTAGGAAAAAAGATCAAACCTGGATATAAGAGATTTTTCCCTGTGAGACTGATTTGTTTTTCCATTGTGCTTAGTATTGCATTGAGAGTCACATCATAAAACTTTTTTTGAAAGATTTCCTTTACGTCAAATTTCAGTCTTTTGGATACATCTCTCTTATCCTTCTCCTCCTTCTTTTTTTCTCTCTTCTTTCTCTCTTTTCTTTCTCTCTCTCTCCTCTCTCCTTTCTCATCTCTCTTCTCTCCTTTTCTTCTCTTCTTTGCCTCTTTCCTTCTTTCCACCAGGATTCTTTTCCAACAGGATTCTTTCTGTTCTATGTCTTGTGTTTCTTTTCCATTTTTCTTCTCTTACATTCTCTTACGTCACTTCATGTGAATTTAAAAATGAAAAGAAAAATTAAAAGTAGTTTTTTAAAAAAAAACTTTTTTTGAAAAAATCACATTTAAAAATATTCCAAATTCTCAAACATTTGCATGATGTCTATCTAACTTCAGAATAACATAATCTCTGATTCTGATGAAGAGCAGGAAATGTTTTACACAAAGTTCTTAAATGAAAAATTGTGACCATTTCTTTTCTAGAGGCAGTTTCAGGAGACAGCAGGATAG